CGAGCGAAAAGTCACGATGCTCATCCCGGATTCGGCGTAATGCTAGACATTCGCGATCGTAAATCCTTAATTGCAGGTGAGGCGCTCTGCTCTTTTAGAACGGCTGTTCCCGCCGCTTACGTTCACGTGGTGTTCCACGTGAGTACCAGCTCAATGCTATATGGCAATTGAAAGTAAATTCTTTTTTTACAGATGGGATATATACTTCAGCATGGCTTGAGTTCACTCGTAAACCAGATATCTCCACTGTATTTCTCTAATCGTGTCACACGAAGAACACCGTTGATCCGCGAGTTATGACATTATATATGCACTGTTCTTTTTCTTTTCTTCGCGCGCGCTGTTAATAAAACGAAGCAAGCATGTCGACGCTTGAGCATCTCATCGATTTGTTTTCTTTTTTTGCATTTTTATATCCTCCCACGCGACTTCCTCTTAATTTCATAGCTTCGTTAAGTATCAGGCATGCCCGAGGAAGCACACAAAAATCTGACGGTAAAGTCTCGGCGAGAGAAATCTATTTAAAATTGATTGACCGTAAAAAGGAAATCGGAAATTCTTCGCGATTTTACAACTATATTATTAGAAGCGCCGTTATCATTAAACCCTGTTTGAATATCTTAAATCTTGAATCATGTATAGATATTCGGCGATATTGCAGACGTCGCTTCTTCAATTCTTTTCACCCGTTAATTATGCTGACGCGCATAAGTGAATTGATCGATCTCAATCATTATTTGTGATACGCATGCTAATGCACCGGAGGACTAGCTGGACTGTTGGATTTTTATACGGGTCAATGCCCGTGACTCTTGAAACGCCTCGCCGCGACACAATTCTCTCTTCCATGGAATAACGACGATTAAAGTATGGCGAGAGAGCCGGCGATACGACATCGCGATTCACAATCAGTCTCGCGGGAAAAGGACTTTCGACGTTCAAGAAATCGCCGATTCACTTTTGCAATCATCGAACGTACGATCGCAACGGAGCGCACACAGCTGATCCAGCCGGTCGAGTTTACGAGGGAATAATTTTCTGCTCGCCAGCAATGGCCTTTTCAATCGTCACATCGCACCGTTATGCGATGACTAGCGCTATATCGAATTTTTCTAACGTTCCGAACGGCCTTTTCCGTTATATAGATGCAAATTGGAAGAATATTTTCGAGTCCACTGTTTTGAAATTATAAATGTATGCCGTGGTGTTCGAGATACCGTTTAATGAGAATTAAAAAGTGTTTTCTTGTTTTTTTTTAAGATTTTATATCGATAACCTTTCACGAAAGATTTCAGAAATTTGTAACAGCTATTAAACCCGCAGCTGAAGAAAATACTGGTAGTTAAAAGATTGCGAACTCTCCGCGATGCTCGAACCCTCTGAAAGATACGCGTGCAACGGAGCGAAATTGCGCAATGAAGAACAGTGGAGCAATCAAGTGCAACAAAGCAATCGTAGCTAAAACGACAATTTCAATTCATGATGTATCAAATAGGACGCGTACTTAGTCTCCTGCATCATTAAATGTTCCCGTAACAGTAACGTTATATTGCTTATATCGAGGCGTTACATGATAATTGGTATTTTCAAGGTCTCATGCGTTATATTGGAATATTTATGATTACGATTTATGATTTAATTTGTTTACAATGACAGTCATTACGGATCCGAGACACACTTTATTCATGCTCGATGCGTCCGGTAATAGATTGCATTAATACATGCGGTTAATAATACGGTTGTCACTCAGAAATGCATATGCTCGCTGTGCAATCGCTGCTTTGCCATTTTCTTCTTATAACAATTCTCTTCGAATAAACAACCTTTGAATCAAATCTACACGGGGAAAATTTTATATCAAAAATTGTTACGATACGACAGTAGCCGCGGATCATAAGAGAAATTATAAGTTTAAACACTGTCGCCATTACATAAAAAACATAATACAAATTTTTATAATTACTTCAAAATTTGCGGCTGCCGCCGTACATAGTATTTTTTTATACAAAATTTTCTGTGTATTTGATATCCACGTTGATTAAATCCGTTTTTTTAATGTGTTACATAAATTCGTCGTACTAATTTCAGTTTGAATAGCTAACAGAGAATATCATATGTGGAATTTCCAAATATACCACATATAGAATATATTTTGTACGCGTGTCGCGATAACGTAACAAAAAAAATGTGCAAAATAGCCTGGATTATGCGCCTCAATCAGAATCGTAAAAATCGTGGCGGCACGAACGTAACCTTTTCCCAAGTGGACTTGTTACTCAACAATGACTGTCAGACTTGTCCTTTACGTGCTTGACGGACTTAGAGAATTGCAGGCGGTCTCAGCGGTAACCAACTACACCCGGACGTAACGTTCATTTATCATATGTATCTTTATCATCATATTATCAGCAGGATTATATTCGTGTTTTCCCACTTACTCTCGGGAGATGTCAAGTGATACGCGATAATCGCGATTGCTTGACAAGATGGATTAAAGGTTTTCCGCTAGCACGTTTCGCGGTTTGATAAATCCTTCTCGGGAGGATTGTGGCATAAATCGTGTCCGCTTAACATTCTTGATAAGAACTTTTTAGGCATTTGCGTTCGTCATTATTTTCGTATCCACTTTATAGCGTGTTTACTTATATAAAATATTTCTTCCATTAACAATCAAATGTGCAATACTCGATATTTTAAAAGCAAATGAATTTATGAGATAACTGAGAACAAAAGAAATTTTTTAATACGCAGAATACAGCGTAGGATATTCGATTAATCGATAAGAGAGGTAAAAAAATCCTTTCTTCCATCTTTTCCAACAAGAGATGTTCTTATGTAATACTTAACATATTACTTAACGGTTCTTTAAAAAATATAAAATCTACACTTGTAGAAGTTAATGAAGTCCGACGCGGCATTTGTGCGTCCTACTTCATACCTGAATTATTCACCGCGAATACTTATTGAAGCCTTGCTTTTCTCCCCAGTGTGAAAGTGCCCACTCCTCCCTCTCCCCCACAGAGACCAGCGCGAGACTTCAAACGAAACGACGTATCAAAACTCTGATTTCAAAAGCTTCATAAATCCCGGCACGAGGCGATCGAGGAAACGGCGCGCCGGGCGGAAGGAAACTCGGCACTCGTTGAATATTTCCGCGCAATTAGTAACAGCTTTGCCCACATGTGAAAGCGGCAGTGAATTAAATCAACCGTTAGAGCAAAGAAACGGAAAGCAACCACAGCTATATATATATATATATAGCATCATTATATCAACTTGTAATTGCATGCGGTGTTTTGCAAAAGTGAGCTAACTCGCAGACATAGCGTAGCCCGTTGCTCAAGCAGGCTTGATTGGAAAATGTATTGTTTTTTTATTTTCTGGGAAGTAAGTCAATATTTTAATGTTTAAAAATTATACGGTGTGTAGGAAATGGATTTTAATATTTTAATAACTATCTGTGCTAGTTAAAATGTGGACTTTTCTATTGCCCCTTTTTGCCCCGTGTAATTTTGAGGTTTTCTCCAAAATTTTGTGATTTATTTTTATACGGCCTCCAATTAAGTATATCAATTTATATAAAATAAACTTCCGCAAGAAATATCCAATAATAGAAATTATTGTTTTATCGTATTAATTTATTAACCGTTGAGAGTTTAATGAATACTTGATTACCGCAAAAAACTTGTAAGACAAGCTTAATGTCGATTAGCCGGACGATTGTAAATAAGACAAAACAGCAAAAAATCAATATGCGATTATTTGGAAAATAATATTGTCATATTATAGATTGTTCTCTAAAAATTTTTCTTATATAGTTTCTTATTTTCATCAGTATTTAAATTTCAGATGATGATGAATGAACTCTCTTTCTTTTTCAAACAAAATCGAATTTTTCTGGAACTTTTACTTTACATGTACGATACTTAATTGGAACGATTAGCGATATTAGCGATATAGAATGATATTCTTGGGTAATTAATAGAGTAGCAATGAGTATATATTCATATACATCGATTCGTCTATTCTGTTTCATGCGTTGAGCATATATTGAAAAGAAAAGTTTTGTTTCACCTGTTTTAAATGCACTGCTTTTTCCTTTCTATTCGTTGCACTCGTTTTAAAATTAATTGTATCGAAAATCAGGGTAAAATAACATCCGTGTATTTAGAAATTAGATATTCATATATCACTGTCACGCGGCGTTTTGATGATTTCATTTAAAAAATACAATATAAAATTATTAATTGTATAAAATTATTAGATAAATAATCTGATAATAACATTAATCTGCATCGCCAAGTCAAAGAACTTCGTTTCTTTATAAAAATCTTTCGAGAACGATGCACAATGCACGTCTTCGAGAGAACGTATCGTTTTTTGTCTGCAAAAAAAGTGTAAGTATCTAGTGAAAAGAAACGAGAGTGATTAGATCTCGCTTTCGACGTTACGCGTGCACGACCCGACCTAAGAACGGAAGGTGCTCTCCTTCGTGAAACGAGAAAGACGTGAATCGAGCTCGAAGCACACGATTGTTTGGCAAACAATTGTACAGTTTCGCGCGACTACCACGTGCTTTGGAGAACAACATAAAGGTCATTTAGATTCCTCAGCATACTATATAGCAATGCTGAAATCTTTTATTCAATTAATCGACTATTTGTGAATCTCACAAAAAAGAAACGATAAGTCGAAAGAGTCTACAGCAAAAAGCAGATTCTTTTTAAAATGCTTTTATCCGTAGCATCTTTTTTCAAAATAAAAAATACAGTTATGTTATAATTACATGTTTATGTTAAATTCATGAGCGCATAAACTTAAGAAATTTTTTGTAGTTCGAGCAAAATCTCTTTTTTTCGATCTAAAGCCAAAAAGATTGTAATCTGCAAGGTTGCGTTCTACTTACGACCTTACAAATTTCAGACGGATGTCGTATTATGTATTGTATTACATATTCGACGAGCACGCATGGCGAAATGTGAAAAATGAAGGGTACTTACGTCATTTATGGTCGGCGGAAGTCGAACTTCGATTGGATGTGCGATCTGTCACGGTCTTCATGGTTCCATCGCTGCGGCCGGTGAGATCTTCAGCATCATCACACGATGACGAACGGGTCGTCTAATGTGCTAAGCGCGCACACGTAAGATGCACACGGCGCGCGCGATCGGCCCTGCGGCAAGGAAGCGAGGGGAGATAGATTCGATGGATCGGATGCCTCTTCTCGCCGCGTACGATTTCCGGCAGTTGTTTTCTCTATCGCTTCCGTGTGATTCCGTACGCATTAATTTCCGTATAATCACTGCACCACCAAACACTGTCAGAGAAGACGGCAATCCTCGTGCGACGATCTTTGCAGCGCGTTGAAAACAGTCGGCCTTCCGCGTGTTACGCCTGTCAAAGGCAAAGTTGATTTAATTTTACGCATTGCTTGGCATGTTTCGCGTTAAAAAAAAAAAAATAAAAAAGAGTGTAAATATATAATTAAAGTAAGGAAGGAGATAAGAATAAAGCCGCGACACGCACCGAAATCGACTCGGAATTACGACGATGAGCGCACGAGTTATGTCTATGTTTATTGAAGGCACCCTGACATCGGAATGTAAAGAACCGAGGGAAATTCGTGCTTTTTATTCACGTCTGTCTACCGGTTGGACGACATAGGAACGAACACAAAACTCGATTAAAAGAAAAAAAAGGATGGTCGTTTAAAAAACTCGTCTTCCCAGTTACGCAAAATCGCCAAAAATAAAAATCGTGTGCGTCTTTTACGTCGAAAAGCGGCGAGGAACAGCTATGCCTGGTGTCGTTTGTTTTCGCTCTCGAGCGCGAAGCGTCGTGTTGTATTAATTGCAAATCAGATCTAAGATTCAACCGATATCGCGTAGTAAAGAACGTTGTTTATAACATTTCCGAGTGTTATCATGTAGCGATTATTTTTTTCTCAATTACCTAATATATTTCTGTTTATTAGCAATTTAATTAGAATTGTTAAATATATTTAACTAATTAGCAAATAATTTTTTCGGCAATTTTCAACACGAAATATGTATGAAAAACTAACCTATTTCATATCGTTGGGCGAATCAATCATATCAAAGCGAATAATTTTACAAAGATTTTTCGAGGCGGATCGACTAGTATCGCAGAAAGCAGAGTATCGCTTCTGTTTCTTCACGTGCGAGTTATTTATGTACATTTATGTATACGCACAAAGCATATATTTCACACTTTTGCTCCGCTTTTTTTCGCGATACGAAACACACGGCGACTCTCGAATTTCAGAGCGCGACGTGAACGGCGCGCGCAACACTTTCTCCGTCGATATCGATGTATCGTTACATAGACGCGGAAGTGTCTTACGAAATCCTTTCTTTCGTTATCTCTCGAACAACCTTCTTCTACCTGTTGACATGCGAGGACCGACATTAATTCGCAGATCGAAACGACAGTGTGAGAAAGAAAAAAAAAAGTGACGCGGACAGATCTCGAGTTACGGGCGGCAGCGCGTAAAAAAAAAAAAGAAATGATATTCGCGTATTCGCAGCGTCGGAATCCAGACTCACCGTGATCGCACTTGGTCCCGCAATTTCTCGACCGTCAATTCTTTATCCGCTGAAACTTCTGGGCGCGCGCAAATCACACGTTATCTCCGTTTCTTCGATGCGTACGAGTCGAGCGCGACGCGGACGATGGGCATCTCCTCTCCCGATGACACCCTGCCGTAGGACTAACTATCGGACAACGACGGGGACCACGATCGCGCACGATCGTACGCGCGCGCGCGCGGCGATGTTTGAAAATCCCTCGCGAGGAACGGCGTGCTCGGGACGTGGGGAGACGGACGGGCGGACAGGCACGCACACCGCGCGGATTTGAATTTAATGCGAATACGCGAACGGATTCGGTGTTACTGCGGACGACGGCGGCCGTCGCCGTCGGCTGATGGTGAAGTCGTAAGGTGGGGAAGCGACCGAGAGGGACCGTGGGGAAGGACCGGCGAGCTCTCGGCGCGAAGCTGAACGCGATTGCGATCGTTACACGGCCGCGTACGCGCAAGAGAAGGCCGTTCATCCGCTGAGAGAGCCGAGAGAACCACAGCGCCACAAACCGCACCGTTCCGTCACCATCGGCGCACAGTGGTGTCGAAATGAAGGAAATACTCGGCTCGCGAGAAAAGTCGGCACAAAGACGTGTTCAAATTTTGCAAAAATATAACATTCATTAACGAAACATTCTTTTTTTGTTTCAAAGGAGAAAAATGTTTTTAGATTTCTTGGAATTGAAACGTCCTTTCCGAAAGAATTCCGACTTTCTACAAACAATATTCACGATTTTTTTTATCATTTCTACGATTTATAATACTGTAAAAGATTTAAAAAAAAAATTGGTTTACTTCTATAAATGTTTTTCTGCAAAAACTAATTATGTGATTGAATTAAATTAAGGTTTGCAGAACAATGCTGATTTTAAATTAATTAGGGCAATTGCTTTTTAAAAATATCTAGACTGAAGATTAATCTTTATAATTAAAATTTTTGATATATCAATTTTACTTAATTTTACTAGGTTAATTAGCGCTACGCGTTGATAGCATACCGAACGCTACGTTACTGCGCAAAGTATTTCAAAATCGGGAAAGTCACCGCTTCGCAAAAGACTATCTTGTTACGTTAACGACGCTTTGTCTATGCAAAAAGCTTAGTCTAGCTTAGCTAGAATAAATGCACGTGACGATATAGCCTAAGCGACTATCTCAAATCAAACTTTAAAACACCGATTATGACACAATGACTAATGCAAACACTCGAAAGAATTTATGCTTACGTCAATTGATCTTGTTAGTTGAAATTATGTGTCTAAACTTTAATATAAAAAAAGAAATTTTTTATTGTACTATAAAACACATCTATGCTACAATTTTGATTAAAATATATATTAATTATTATACTGCGTGCAAGAAATATAATCGTGTTTAAAGAAAGATTGTGCGTATTCCTACAATATCTAATTATCGATACTCGCGCTTTGATATTTGCGAACGATACGTGCATCGAGTACTAATCGATAGATTGCTAAATTTCAAATATTAGATCTGTGGCTTGATATGTTCAGTGTGAGTAAATTTTAAGATCTTTATCTATATACTTATATTGTAAATATTTCTATAAATTGTAATTATCGATTAATTGCGTACGTTCTCGCATTACAAAACATGATTTCGGAGACACACTTTCAAAGATTTTAAACGTCCATGCTTGAATTTATGTGTAATATGAAACGCAAGTAACAGAAATATCTGTCATAAGAATTATATATATTTATAGAATTTTAATCTCTTCATGGAATCAGTCCTTCGATTTTACACCTTGAAACGAGAACAATCAATGTCATGCTGTTCTGACGACGGAAGAGAGGAAATATTACATATTCAGGTATAGAACGTTTGTCCTTTGGCTTTCAAACTCCCAAGAAACACGGTTATTTTTGTTCCAAGGTGTTGAATTATAGACTACATTGATGCCGACGATCGTGTAATTGACGGAGGAAAACGTCGAGTTAGTATCGCGGAAACTTTAATTATCACTAGCTTTCCACAGAACGAGTTACTTATACACGAATTGCATCCATGGTTGGATGACCGCTTACAATGTTACGCAACAAGTAAATGGCTAATAGCCTCGAATTGAAAGATTTCCTTTCGAACACGGTTCAGTATCGTAGAAATGCGAACAACCGAATGGCGAGCTTTATTAGGAAAGCGTTTTTGCGACAACCATGTCGCTTACGAATCTGCCTGTAATTTCATTTCTAATCCTACTTGACAAATGCAACTTTTGCGTCAATTTAATGCGTCGTTCCTCTGAAAACTATAATAAATTCGGTTGTATCGCGACAAAGTTTTAACTGAAAAGTAAGCGATCGATTTATCGGATAATTTGTACGCTATTTTTGAAGTAAAACGAGTATAATAAAATAAATTTATCTTTATTTGTATTTTATATTAAAAAAAAAACCCAAGAATTTTGTCGCGTTATGCATCCGGTGCCGCTGCGGGTGCGCGATAACGGGCGTTTTGCGGAGAGAGGAAACGATTGCGGGATCGCAGAATTGCAGGCTTCTCAGCCGCAAACTGTTTACACTTCGCGTGACCAGCTTATTCGCGAGGCCATAACGAAGGTTTAGAATTTCGTGAGCCCGACGTTCTTAAATGAGGATACGCGGGCCGCTCCACGAGTAAACGGGCACGTGCAACAGCGGGGGCGTCGAGGAAAAAGGAAGACGGATAAACGGTAGAAGAAGAAGAAGAAGAAAAAAAGGAACACGAAGGAGTGGTAGCGAAGTAAGGTTTTTAACCACGGCGATCGTTTTCCGGTTTTCCGTTCTCGAGAGAGGCACAGTTCTACCTCCGCGCTCTCCGTCTTTCTCTCTCTCTCTCTCTGTCTCTCCCTCTCCCCGTCAATCTGCGCGTATTGCCTCTCGAGCGCTCGAGTCTCCGCTCCTGTCCCGTCTCGCGCGCGAGAGGGAAAGTATTTTATATCACGCTTGGCTTGGCAAGAGAAAGGGGACACGGTTCGCTCCTAATTTCTGCTTTGACTTCGTGAACCTATATATCGCGTCGCACGCTATACGTGTACGTGATAACTCCACGCCGTGCTCGAATTGTTCCGCGCGCACCGCTCTCGCCGCCGCGAGTTTACGTCCTAATGTGAACTTTGGGACTCTGTGCCGTGTCGCGGATATACCTGCTACATGTTATGCGACATGTTGTACGCAGGGTGTTTCGTAACAAGTGCAAAGCGAAAAGCTTCGATAATTTGTTCTGAAATTTCGAATGAAACATGTCACGTGGGCTTGGACACTATTCCGAGTTGCACGCAAATTTTTCTACGAAAGATCAAGAGATCACAACAAATTCACACAGGCTTAATGCGCCAAGTAGTATTTAAGGAAACCAAATAGAATATACACGCGTATACCTGCGCGAAATCAAGTCATTTATTTCCCGCGTATACTTTCAAAATATATGCTCAAGCTCGCGCGCGTTCTGAAATATTCTATTACATCATTAATATTTGTATGCCGAAAAATTCTATTATTTGCTTTGTAAATTGTTATTTGATATCCTGTTAAAAAAAAATAATTGTTTAATATAAGATTTCAGTGGAGTCAAGGACAAGACGGACTCGCATTCGTTTGATGGAAAGGGAGAGAAAGGGGGAGAAGGCGAAAGACGGGGTAATATAAGGTACGGGAGAAGAGATGTGGGGAAGAGATGCAGTAGCAATGGTTCTCCTGGCATGAGCCCTGGCTAAAAGTGAAATCGATTATGCACCACCTTGTATCATAGCCGTTATTATATATTATCCAGGCAGAACTGTGTCGTTGTTGTAAAAGTTGCGCGCAGAAACGTAACTCGATATCCTGGCGCGGCGCTCGAAGCTACAATTATCGCGCGACACATTCACAGACGGAGCGGGCGATTTTATAGAAATAATCGTTGCCCGATTAAGGATCCATTAAACGTAATATGTTTCAGCGAGAGATACGCGCGTGTGTGTGTTCTCGAATTCCTTTTTTTGCTCTTTCCATAATTCTCTCGACTTAGGCGCGCGCATAAACCATCGCGCCGCTACACTCATTCAACGTTAATTACGAAAGTGAAAGTACGGCGGGTTGGCGATGTTGGATATGAAGTAAAAAGAAATCTCTAGGCTTCTTCTTCGTCTTCTTTCCACCGCTTTTACGTAACCTGACTGATCTTGTTATCGTTTCGCATTCTAATTGCGTGCGTGCACATATCCATGAATTCGTACGCTAACTACGAAGAGACGTTTCCGCAAAATTGCTATAAATGAAAAATCGCGGAATTCGAATGTGAGATCTAAATCAATTGAGCGTAGCGAAAACATTCGTTAATCTTGTTGTTGTTATTTGTAAATACAACAAATTTTACGACTCGTGTGAAACGTCGCACCGATATTTCTCGATATTTCGTTTCTCAGTGTGTTTCGGTAACGAAAACCAAAAGCCGTTTTTACAATGGTTTTGCTTATCGCCCTGCAATCAAATTTCTAATGCGATCCGACAAGATCAATCGACTGAACTGGGAATTTCGTAAAAAGATTTCACTCCGAAGAAACAACCGCTAGAAACGTAATTCTTGCATCGCGCCAGCGTCAGATTTACGCGTTTCAATTGTTATTTGCAGCAAATCAATTAAAAGTAAAAATAACACAATAACAGTTTCGTGAAGATCAATCGCTTCAAAATCAAAGATTAATATTAAAGATTTTTGGAGTTCTTTTCTATAATAAGTCATGTAGCGCACTACGTAAAAAAAGTAGGTTATGTGTAAACGCGAAACAGTAACATTATATATATAGAAAGATTTGCAACTGTTGTATAACATCAACATAGCTAGCATGTTATTAATAAAATTGCGATACCTTACCTTTCACCATGTACAGCCGGATATGCTTGCATTGTGCGTGTATTATCATTCACGAAAAGTTATTAAAAAATGCGTAATGAATACGTAGTCATCTTACTTGTTCTCTCTGAAATTCGGCGATTATTAAAAAGCTTGATGATAATAGAAGGACCTTAATGTAACCAATTGTCGGTAAAAACATTCGCTACATAACCGATTATCAATAATAATAATCATTGACATAGCCGATTGTTAATATAATGTACCAATTTTGAAGTAGATCCTGAAATTTGAAATAAAATAATAATACGTTAGTTTATTTCTCTTTTCCCATTATTTATTGTATTTAAATAAGTTTGCACGCATAAAGCTAGATAACATAAATAATATTTCTTCATTGTGTAATACATATTTTAAACAATAATTATACAATTTAAAGTTTTTCAAGTATATTACTATCTCGTATTATAGCATAAATTAAAATTTTAGATACATACCTACGGAATAAAAATGTCACAAAATACGCCACTCTGTGCAAGCATGACTGTACATACAATAAATTTTAATAGAATGAATCTTTAATTATAATTATATCGATAGTTACTAATTATGTGATAAAATTTTGCATAAATTTTTATATATGTGATTAGTAAAATCGCGTATTTTGTGAGATTTATTACGTGAATAACGGACGGCCACGACGCAATCGTGTGTCGCCATTCGAATTGTAACAATATAAACAGGATATAGGAAGAATAAGGCTAAGCGCCTTGGATCTATATTTGTCCGAATGTTAGTAGCTTAAAGTCACACGAGTACGCACGAACAATCTTAACTCCTGCAAACCAAAGGATACACGAACTTGTGAAGATTTGTTTTTACATTATTCTTATTTAAATCAAATGAAAAATTATGATATTTGACACAAAAGCGTTGGTACAATGTATTTTTCAAGCTATGATCTTCTCATAAGCGGTTTTATCTTATCCAAAATATTAATCAGTTAAAATATTTCCGGTTGCGATTTTTAATTTTGGGATATCCCGTAACATAAAGTCGTACGATAAAATGGACTAATCCTTCTATGCAGAGTGATAAATATAATCTCGATATCTGAAACGAAATTTCCCCAAAATATTATCATGTACAAATCTTCGTAATATGCATGATCAATCAACATTATTTAACTGAAACGCAAAATCGCATCTTTAATCGATATCTTCGATCGAAAAGTGCGATACCTAATGCAGGTCTTTTTTCTTAATTTATTAATAGTATCTTGTCATTTTTAGATATGCAGAAACGTATTGACCTTGTATTGTATTACATTTATTAATTGTTTAATCATAATTAATTGACAATAATAATAATAATAATAATAATAATATTATAATAATAGACATATGTATAATACAATGAGAATAATAAAATTAATTGCCTTCGGTTCTTTGTGACAGCTGCCTCAATGCCGTAAAGTTCCTAGCAATCCTACAGAGTTTATATTTGCTTAATGTAAAAAGTAAATCTCAGGGAATGCATTTATGCCTTACATAGCATGCATGTTTCTATAAATTCTCTATTTTTTTATCCATAATGCTTGAATATCTCAAAAAAAAATTTGAAAAAAAAGTATGAGTAATTTATCCCTAGTAATTATCTAAGCTTATTCAGAAATATTATATCTTTATCTTATATTTTCAAAAACCCAAAACTAAATCATAATATGTTTGAAATATTGTTATGACCGACTTGCTTTTTAAAAATCTATAAAAAATTATAAATTTCTCTATTGCCAAATTATTTGCTTTATACGTGTGTAATCTACGCCACAAATTATAGCTTATTAAATGTTAAATGCACAAACAAAAACAAGAGCAGTTCTTTTAAGTTTCAATCTTTTACATCACATCTCTTTAGAGAATGTTGAAGCTACCAGTATGCTCTATTACAAATAATATATATATATATATATATAAATATATGAGCTCTTCATTTCTCAAGTGGTGTAAGTAAATCTAAAATTTTCGATCTACATCAGAAATGTGTCTGGAAGGATCGCTTGCATCTAGTAAACAAATTTTATAAGTCCAGCTTCATAAATAAGATGCTGGGAACAGCACAAAGTTGCAGGAATTATTTTCATTTATCTTGAATTTTCTATAAACCCAAAACATTAATTTTGCAACAATTTAAAAATTGGACTTACATCACTTGAGAAATAATATGGGAGCTCATATATATAAAGGCATATATAAAAAAACATCTACTATAATATTTTTCCATATAATGCGATGGAGGAAATGTTACGAATATTACTGTTCATTAAGTCAAAATTTTAAGAGCCATGCTCTCTACTTAATTTGCAATCTCTAATTATTACTAAAATATAGTTTTAAAGAGAACAAGCAGAAAAACCATTTCAAAGCATCGTTTCAGAAAAAAATACATAGATTATATATCAAAGCTATTAATATTTTAAAATCAATGCTTATATATATATATTTTTTTTTTATTTTATCCATCATCTTTTCATCTTGTCAATCAAGATATATATCTATATATATTTTTTTTATAGAGAAAAAGTTTTAGAAAAGTTAGACAAAATCATATAAATTTGCTGTTAAAAATAACTTTTATACCTTTATCATTTATACAAATTAAAGAGAAAAAAAATGGTAAAATTGATGTATTAAATTCGTTTGCTTTGAAATGCATATATAAATTGAAAAATACTTATCTATGATAAGATTAATTTAGCGGAGCCTCGACATAATCATAGATAAAATGTGGCGGAGTATTAGGAGCATCTGCTAATATTTCAGGAGTTGTTAATGCCATAGTTGAGTCGCTATCATTCCATGGATCGATATCGTTTCCTCCAATGTCCAAGCCGAGTCGCAAATTTCCCGGTGTATTGCCAATAACAAAATGGTCTTCAGTCAAGGGCAGAGCATCTTTTAATAAAAGCCTACAAAAAAAATGTTAAACTCAATTTTTTGAAATAAAAATTAAAAAAAAAAATTTTTTTTTAAAATGAGATTAATATTATAATAAAGACGAGTATCTATTCATCGTATGCAAGCGTATCATAAGCAAATTTTTTTACCAAATATCTTCGTCAGCAACAACGTGAATCTTAGGAATGGGAAATCCATTGAACGGCGAAGCAACGGGTAATGTATAAGCGCCCATGTTTTCGAAAATTATCCAATCACCAAGTTCCATATCATGCAACATAACATTCTCAACAACTTGATCCAATCCGTCGCACGTCGGACCCCATATGCTTGAAGGAATCACTTTTCCACAACCAGTCTAATAAAAGAAAACAAAAAATATTAGTATTAGTTACGAAAAATGTATTAGTAGTTTCTCTGAATAAAGCATTTTACCTTCAGAGGGATAGGAATTACGTGCTGATGATCGTACAGCAGACAATTGAACGATCCGTAAACACCATCGTTGATGTAATACATATTATGCGTAACAGTGGTAGGAGAATTTTCATCAGCGCGTACAGAACGCTTGCTATGGATATTTGTAGCCAAAGTATATGCAGACGCAACATAAAAACGACCTGGTTCAGCAATCACATGAACGGCGTCAGCTGAAAGATTTTAATTGTCAGTCGTGATTTCAAGTAAAATACATCCATATAATCAAGAAAGAAAACGAATTGAATGGCTTACTATTAAAATATTCGTCAAGAGCTTCATTAATAACTTCAGCTATTTTGTCGATGCTCGTGCCTTTATTGCCCGGATAACCGCCACCAAGATCCAATAGATAAGGCTTGAAACCGAAACTGGTAGCCATGTCAAATAATATTTTGCAATGATGAATAGCGCGATGATATACTGGCGGATCCTGACATCCAGAACCAACATGGAAGCTAAAACCCATTACATTGAGACCCAATCTATACGCAAGGCGTAAAAGATTAGGAGCTTCATGTACTGGATCACAGCCGAATTTCATACCAAGCGGACACATGGCTACTTCTGCATCGCAACGAATTCGTATAACAATCTAAGGAAAGAAAAAAATATATTAATATGATACAAACATTTCCAAAACAAAATTATCACTTCAATATTTGCAATGATGAGTTTTTACATTAATTAACACGTTATATAATTACCGCCATTAATTTTATTTCAAAAATTCCACGAAAGTTTGTCTAAATAAGATAAAGTTACATTATAATATATAATTACCTTGGCGGTTGGGAAAAGTTTCTTGATTTTATGCAATTCACTTTCATTGTCTACTGTCATGGTATCCACTCCTACTGCGGCTGCGTGACGAATATGAGAAGCTGGTTTAGCCGGATTGGCAAAAATAATTTTTGAAGAGTCTACACCGACGCTTAGCACTTTGTTTATTTCATTCTACAAAGGAAAAAGACATCACATAATATTTGTTCTTTGGGGAAGTTTAATTTTCTTCACAATGAAAAAAACATTTAATCATATTTACCTTAGATGCACAATCAAAACTAGTACCAAGAGCTGCTAGTACTTCAATTACCATCAGATTGTCATTACATTTTACAGCTGGAAATGAAACATTTCCGTGAATAACCACGTATCATGTTATCATGTAACTTTAACTCTCAAATGTTTGAAAGCTCACCATAATATGGCTCAACTCGCGGCAATTTTTCCTTCCAGATTTGATGCTTTCGTACAATATCTCCTATGTCCAAAACGTAAAAAGCCTCTTCTTGCAAACCACTTATCGCAATGTCTTTGACAACAGTCATAACGTTGGCCTCATTGTCCAACACATGGATACGTTCATCTAAATTAGTTACCTTCATATTGATTGAATTTAATAATTTAATTGGTACTCTGTAGGTGCTAGGCAGCAAACTGCAAAAATAAAGCATATCGTCAAATAATAGATAGGCATGAAAAATGGACATCGATCAATTCTGTGTTCTCTAAATTTTAATAAATTTTGTACAACGCAAACGTACGAGGCAGCTGTCAATGCTAGTTAGGTGAGTCGTGAGGAAGCTGATTAAGACGAGATCACTGTGGGGGTGCTAGCAAAGCCACGGGGGCTCTGCGTTCAGGGCCAACTTCCAGTTGTCGCAGTTATTCACGCACCCACCAGTAGACTGGCCAACCAGTCTATCGCAGACGGAACCCTGCACAAAAAAGCAATTTCTAATTTAGACAAGTATCATTATAAAATTGTTGCAAGCATATAAACCCACGAAAATTATGAATCCGTAAATTTAAAGCCTACAAGTTACTAATAAAAAAGAGGAAAAGAACTATTTAAATATTAATGCGGGTTTTTATATAAATCAACCAGTATGTATTAAAATAATTTTATCACACACTGAACAGAACTGTTTATCTTATCTTATTGTTATCAGGGTAAATTAAATCAGATATTTTCTGTGAAATGCCATACTGAGTTAACAAGAAGCGAAAGGAATATTAATTATATTTTTTATACGTTTCATTTATATCTTCAATCTTATTGTACAGATATAATTGTGTATATTCATCATAATTACAATATGTCGCGTCGCAATTTATATTCATATTTTAATGTAACAAAAGATATTATAGAATTTAACATGTAATTTTTACCTGATGATGGGAAGTAATTCTCGTATCTTTATATGCACAGTACATACAAAATTATATCACTATCAAAGAGTTTTTACAACGTTTTTAAGTTTTGATGATTCTTGTGTGTTTCATGTATATATATATATAACAAAGTAGGAATAAAATATAAACGTTTCACAAATTCTGAGACGCAGTTAATACATGTATTCACACATATGTATGTAAAAACTTCGTTCACTAATCCAAACCAACAGAAATTCAGGACAATACTGAGCATGAACGGATGACTTGGGCCATTACTTATACGAGAGAGATAAGTGCTATCAGCTTTTCTTTGCGTGGTTCCAAGACTTTATAAGAGATTATCTGACAACCAGAAGGTACATGGTTCATTAAAAAGCCAGTTTAAAGTGGAAGGGTAGTACAAATGTAATTCAAGAGTCTAATGGGGGGTTGGGAAATAACGTGCTTAATCTACGCAATACTCTCTCTCTCTCTCTCTCACACACATCATTCATTATCAAATTAAATATATATTTACACATGAAATCATATGTCATCCTCAATAGCTCAAGATAGTATAAAAATACAATGATACATAAAATACTTGAAATAAATATCTTACAAAATTACAGAATTTTAGAATATACAGAATGTGTAGAATACAAATTTTATTATTTTTATAAATTTTGAAATATATTAGTATAATTATACAATTTATACAAAAAATTATAAAAAAATATAATGTAATTTTGTTAAAACTAACAAATTTTCTATTTTTCAAGCAATTATGTTTCATCGTTAAAAAAAGGATAATAATAATATTGCCTTGTATATTCAAACAAATTCAAATACAAAGCGATGTTCTTATATAATTTAACAATGGCTTTGCTGGCCTGAAGAGGAAATACTGGTCTGAAGAAGATAATACAAGTCTTAAGATATGAATAACATAGCTACTGGCCATTCTGCAGACATTGATATTAAAACACATGGTGTGACACAAATCAGAAAGTTTAAAAAATATGTATTATCATTGGCGTATAAATTAACAGTTATACACATTGCAACCAAGATACTCGTAACACAAAACTCATAATTTTGCTGCAAAAATATAAAAAGTAGTATTTTAAATGTAATAAAATATAAACATGAATTAAACTGATGAAGATATGAAGAATATTTGCTGTAAAAAGATTAACAAAAATTTTTAATTTTATTAGATGTAGAAATTAATTCTTTCTGACTGACTTTTTCTTTATCGCCTCAAAGCTGCCGAGTTTCTATCACGATGGCATACCGAAGTTGACCAAAAGATGACACAAGATCATCAGCGATAATAGAAAATATTTTTATGATTAAGCTGTTTCAGTTTGTTTATAATAAAATTTTGATTTTATCAAACTGGGAGAGAAATTTATTTCTACATCTGATATATTTTAAATAATATTATATGCATATGATGTGCTGCATAATATTAGGCAACATCAGTGATATATATATGTGCATATGTATATATATTACGATATTAAATATTAAATATAATGAATAAAAGATAATGCAAAGACATTGCTTCTTTGCTTTCAAGACGATTATATCAAGTTGCAAATACAAGAGAGGCCGCATTAATCAGTAAACTTACAACTGAAAGTTTTAGTAAACAGAAACCGATGTTTTTAACGAGGCTCAAGTACATATTATCAAGCAAACAACATGGATTTTTTTTTATGATAAGAAGAAAGTTCTAAGAAGGCATGTAGCCTATGATGAATCATTGTCTCAAAGTGAATTTCCACGTGATCGATATCGCGTTGGCACCACGCGGCAACAAAATTAAGTGACGATTTTATGGCCACGTACCTTATCGGACGATCGCCACCCTGCGGGTCGGCACACGGTTATTGGCGGAATGATGGAAGTTTTCGGTGACTGGATCACAAAAATCAGTCAAATCAGTCGACGAGGATCGGGCTGTCGTTCGTGTGGCGACCAGTGCTCGTCGTTGAGTTTTCGCACGAATGGCACTCCGTGGAGGGTGTCGGGAAGAATCATTCGTTTCACTCGTTCGTAACGCTTTTATTCGTCACGAGCGAGCGTCGTACCGTTGTTGATCGAATTCCAATAGCAAGTCTGAGACGCCGCTTCAATTTCGCTTCAAGATGGACAGAGGTAACCCAGGCTAAATACGATCCGCGTCGAGCTTTACAAAGCTAACACGCCAACCACCCGTGCTAAACCGTGTGCTCTCGAAGAGGACAGTATGGCCACGATCGGCAGCGTATATGCAGCGCCACGGCAAATAGCGCAACTCCTTATCGAAAACTTTGATATTTCTGTAGGATAAAACAGAGTGTGCATGCAGGAATATATTAGTTGCGCCATCTGAATCTTTTCACTTTATTTTCTCGCTCTCTTACCTTCCGAACTCCAATGTTACCGAATTTTGAAGAGGCTGTAAATTATTAATTGTCGTTCAGGTCTAAATGATGTATTTTCGATATTTTCGAAACTAAAGTTCGTATCGAGAATAAAAAATAATATGATTACACAATAGAAGTTCTAATTTTCAATTGAAGTAACTTACAATTTACCAAAGTTAATAAAAAATGAAAAATATATACAAGCATGAAAAAGTATTGTACACATGTATTTACATCACGATATGAATCACAATTTGTTGATACTAAACGAATATTTAATAGCTATTGAAAAAAGAAATTTGATAGTTAGCTTGTATATAAAAATATCTTCCATTCAGAGATCCTTAGATCTGTACATAAATAAAATGTATATTTTGACATTCTAAATCATTTCTTCCTTTAAAATATAAGAGTTCAATGCTTCGCAGTGAAGTTCTAGGCCTGTTAAGTGCTATAATGTAAGATTCTACGGCATAAAAACATTTTTATACATTTTCGGCATTTTTGATCATATTTGGAGATTGAGAAGGCTCTTCCATGTTCCATATAATCAATCTTGCTTTCTTTCTTTCAACTTTTAGTGTCCAGCGTTTATTATGTTGCGAATGTATCAAACATAATGTAGAATACTCGGAAAACAAATTTTGTGAATGAAAAATTCAAAAATTTGTTTCTAAAAACTGATAAAACTCATTCCGCACATTTATCTTTAGAACGAACGTGCGAATGCATAATCGACTACATTATTATCAATAAATTTTTTCACTTTCCTTCTTTTAATTTTCTAAATTTCTTTATTTTCTTCGATGAAATTTCATTATTTCTGAAGAAGAGTCATGTGATCATAACTTTATATGTAAATTCATATGAGAATTCATCTTTCTCCGTTCTGGCAGGAAATTATGCGCTTGACTTTTCTGTACTCTTCGGCGAATCTTATGACGCAGCATTGGAATTGTAATAATGGATACGTTCGCTTCGCGAGAGATACGCGCACCAATAGAAGAGATTGATGGCCAAGAAAAAGAGAGGAAAGACCACACGACTGACGCGGTCGATTTTCGATACTGAATTATATCTAGGTGTTCTCCGCCGTCGTCTTCTGGACGTGGACGACGTTGTTCGTCTGGACGGGGGCGGCGGCGGCGTTTGTCGTGGCGGTGGGCCGCAGGTAACACAGGATATTTGCCAATGACTGGGTGCCGCAGGATCCCTTTCGGGCAATGAGATCGCTGACAGTGGTATTACTTCGATCGTACCATCGCCGTTCATCGTGTAATTACGGCTGCCTCGTCTTCGTGCGCCAGAACTCTTTCGACGAGCCTGAAACGACTTTTACGTGAAGAAATCTGACGCGCTATATTTTTTCAAAAATTTTTGACAATCCTATTTGATCGGAATTGAAACAAATACAAATGACACCCGAAATTCGGGCATTTCACTCAATACGGACATTAAACACTTTGGGTTTAATTGTAATTTAAAAAAAAGTGAAAAAAAGAATATTTCGTATTTCAATAATTCTCTGGACATTGTATACTTGCTTTTGAGAATCAACAAGTTGTAGAAATCAATAACTTTGCGCGAAAAAAAGTCAAAAGGTAAAGAGACTTGTTTTAAGGAGTTCAGTTTTTCTAAATGTCTCTTCACTCTTTGTATTTTTCTCGTATTTTATTTGAAAGAAACGTTTACCATTTGATTCTTCACCAGTCTTCTGGCTAGGTCGTCTTCGTCACTCGAGCTTTCGGTGTCACTTAGGTCGGAACTGAAGTAACACTCACCCGATCCGTACTTGGTGAAGTAATGTACTACCGCGAACTGTATGATAGTGGCGAAAATAAATGCGAACGAGAGAAAGACGAAGAAGTCCAGGGCAGTGGGATAAGGAACTTTCGGCAGATCGGTTCTCGCCTCGAGACCTAAGAATGTCATCGTCAATACGGTGGTTATACCTGAAACAAAATTTAATCAATCGGAAATCTTTGAAATGTGATCAATCTTGAAAGAGCTAAATCCCGTCGAATGTTTAATAGCAAAGTAATTATCTATTTATTTAATTGTATCTTCTAAAAAGTTTGTTTGCAAAAATTATTTTGACTCGCTCTCGACTTTTTTTTTAATTATTTTAATTTGCCATAACAAACACTTAGTGTAATTAATGTAGGAATTTGATGTTTCTAGTTTTCATCGTGAAAATAAGCGTTTTCGGCGTTCCACTAGAGCCATGTTTTCGACAAACGGCGGGAGACAGTCAATCTAATCAAGTCTAGCTTGAAACAACGAGCGTGCTAGTTGCGAGCGTATATTCTCTTTCAGTTTTGCAACCTTTATGTTATCTTCAATTATAGTTCTTATAAAAGTATTATATTTGCACTTTTTCGCTTTTGCTTTTCTGGCCTTTATTCCCTACATTAAAAAAAGAGAAATGGTATTTGTAATTAATTCCGTAGGAGTAAACAATGACTTATTGCTTTTAAATCGAAAATTTTTAATATACATCTGATTTAATATAAAGTAAAAAACGACATTTTTCTTGGTATTCGGCATGGCAGAGTTACGAACTTAACGAAGCCAGAAATTGTTAACGCATTTGTGATGCGTTGAGAAAAGACTGTGTTAAATTATGCAGTTTGCTCGCTTTCGTGCGCTTGCGTTTAGCGTAGATTCCTTTTGATGAATTTTGTTTGTACCGCGTTATATTCACTTGCACGCATTTACGGCATGCATCCTTTACGAATATAGACGATAAAGCGACGTTCCAGGCACATATTGCAACGGCAAGTGTTTCAAAGAACACTTCAATTATTAATTCTTTCGGCACAGAATGTACAGTGGCTGTAACAGTTTCGCTCAATTTACCGCTGGAAATTCATCTTTTCCCTTCATTCCGATGCTCGACTTCGGCTTTTCACTTAATGCTGCCAGTCGAGGAGATTTATGAGACAGGAAGATAAATAAGTTCACCGCTCGGTTCCTAACAGCTACATTATAACCGATTATTACGTCATCTACAAAACTACGTAATTACGAAACATAGATTTAGCGCGTGAATACAGCTGCCTACATTTTACATTGTCGCGCTGGAAGGTTCAACGACAAAATGAATGAAATGAGTAAAATGAATAAACTTTTTTTTTACCTAACGATACTCGATCGGCGGTAGCTTCTCTGTTTAACCAAAAGGAGACCCAAGACAAAACGACCAGCAGGACGCAAGGACCGTACACCTGTATTAGAAAGTTACCCATGTGTCTTTGCAAGTGGAAGTACACCAGGAGCATCGAGTTATCCGCTGAAACGTTTTAAGATGACTGAAAAAAACGTACCTTTCTGCGAATGCTTTTGAGAAAAAATTTAAATATTCTTAGCATTTCAAGCAAATCAGGAAATTTATAGAATAATTTACAATACAACTTTACAAAAGTGACTCAATTTTACTCATTTTGTACAGTCAGGCGATTAAATAATGAGACCAATTTTATTTTTAAAAAATCCAATAATTATATTTAAAATTAATTTATTGTATACGAGATACATTGGTTCGCCTTTCATACGAGTGATACGATCGACGAACGATTGAAATAACTTATGGTAGTTTTTCTTTGGAAAAAATCTTCATTGTTCCAATGAGACTATGCAATTATTATTATAATGACATTCTTTAAAGCTATTATAAGAATCTCTTCGAAACCGTGCCACGAATCGAAAACAGATTTTCTTCAATAAGCGTACAATGGAATCAGGAGGCAAAGTAACTGTTTGCCGTTTAATCGATCAATAATAATCCAATTAAAATTCGTAACCGAATTCACGAAAGCTTTCGAGCCTCTGGATGGTTCACCGACGCGAGGGGATAATGAAAATTGGAGAGAAAGAGAGAAAGAGAGAAAGAGAAAGAGAGACAGAGGCAAGAATTGTCATCTTTTAGAGAAGGCTGCAATTAGTCGCCGTTTCTGCACGCCGACTTTCGACGCCACTTTTCTCGGTTCGCCGCGTCTTCTTCCTTCGATTTTCACAGTGACGCGAGGTGCACAGAAGACTTCCTCTTCAATCAAACTTTCTAAAGTTCCCAATTTTCGGCTGCTATTTTCTTTAAGCTATTTTAATTTCATTCGTCTATTTTATCGATATTAAAGTTTTATTTCACTGACTTTTACGCCGCCATTTGATTTTATAATTTAAAACTTGCCAAACTTGTCGTTTGTCATCTTTCCGCTCAAAAATTGAAACTAGTGTAAATATTGATAAGCCGGATATTCATGATTTCGACTGCAAGATTTCACTCACCACGCGAGATCCCGGGAACAGTGGAATGATTTGCGGTGGGATTGGCGACCAGATCAAATTGCGACAGCTTCATGTCCTCCGCTATAGCGACCTGCCTCGCGCTGTTCCACTTATAGATTACGTCGCGCGTCGTGTAACCAACTGTAAACAGATTAATTTCATCATGCCAAAAGGATCGACGTATCGTCTAACAATACTTGACAATTCGTATACCTTCAGGTGACCTTTTTCGCCCTTTAAATATACGCGATTATCGAGAATGAATAAGTAATGAAATATCAATTCGTCAATTTCAACTTGATCTTAAAAGAATAATCACGATACAAGATCTTATAAAATCTAAATTTAAAAACACAGTTTTGATATAATTTTAAGTTGTGCTCTTAGAGTCTTTTGGTGAAATTAATAATTTTAATTAGACAAGAAATTATGCTGCACGGTTTTGGCACTCATCTAACGCCGAGATTTTACGGAAGATTAGTAAAAGTATGAGTATCGCTGACGAGGAAAAAAATTGTAACATCTTTGAAGTTCGCAAAATAAATAAATTCTTAATAAAAACTTACAACTGCCAAATAGCAATGGACATCTCTGTGTGTCCATCGGAAAATCCTCGAGATTCATCGGGCATCCCGCTTTGATCGTAAGTCTGAAATGATATTAGAAAGCTCAGCTATTTTTCTAACAATTCTGAATTCGTAACCAAGTCTCTTGACAATTGTAAAAATTAAAGTTTCCTTAAAGTAAAATAAAATTTAATTTTTAATTGCTTGTGCAATTCGAAAAACTGCTTCGGTCTTAAAACAAGTGGCAATAATTCCGATGTGCTCTGCGCGCTGCGTGAAAAGAGTTGTTTGCTAGCACACTTGTTTCTCCACCACGCAATGTTTGCGGAAGCGATTGAATCAAAATTCTGATTTACTTTCTGCGTGCGAACAAGTGCAAATGTATAACGGACGGTAAATCGATTCGAGTTTGATCGAGTTATCGTATTGCGCGCTTTAACTCTATCGAGGAAGTTAGAGCCGAGGGATGAGACGATCCGTGACTAATCGGATCCATCACCCCGACACTCCAGCGGCTTGCCCGATCGCTCAATTTGAAGCAGGCATGCGTTCCTGCATCCCGGCAGGTGCATTGTAAAGCCGGAACGCGTCCGGTCGTTTCCGTTCCCGCAAGTTTCCGAGCATTTAGATTTTTACTTTGACATTTTACAACCATAGCCGCGCATCTCGATCCAATCTACTTACAGACAACGTCACGAATTTCGCGAAATTTTTCGAAAAGATCAATTTTATATTTTATGAAGTGCTTTCTCTTTCGTCTAATTATTGAAAAAAAATTAAGTTAGCGCATTATTAAGATATAAATGTTGAAAGAAGTTGAAGTTTAAAATCTTCTGAAACTTTGAAAAGAAGAAAATCTTCTTTCGCGTTATACATCGAGTATGCGTCTCACGTATTTCGACAATGTACGTGAAAAATATTTCGAGACTGCCGACGTTTTGCCGAACGATACGACTTGGGCAATTTGCTTCTAACGATTTTCGGTTGCTGCTTCGGTTGCGGCTGCTTTTTATCTCCGGTAGGTTCAAATTAGGCGACTTCTGTCGCCTAACGACGCCATTGAAAAAAAGATCTCGATATTGAGACCCTACGCCGGGCTTTATCCGAATAGAATGTGGGCGAACGCCACGATCGCATATTTAAATTGCAACATTCCGGAAACAAAAAATCGAGAGAAATTCAAATCAATACAAGCATTGAAATGTGAATGGCTGAGCGACATATGTCGGCATCGATCGAAAATACTGCGCGTGATCGATAGAAATATAGTCGTTCAGATACGCAATTTGGCCTAATGTTTTTCGGCCCACATTGATATTTCGGCCGAAGAATAATCCGCTGCGTTCAAGAGACAAACTTGGTTTCTCGTTGTTCTATTCACGAATCGATCATTCCTTGAATTTTTATCACGTTGCCAGACAATTGCAGATTTTTGAATTCTGAAAAAATTTGTCAGAAGTTTACTACAATAGAATAATATACACTAATTGTCTCGCAAATAATCGTCACAAGAAACGAACATTTTGCAAATTGCAGACATTTGAGTACCGAAAGTTTCGGCTTTGAAGCGCTTTGTGCAAATCTAAGAGAATCGTCGGCACAACTTTGTGTCCTGAATTTATGCAGGACGCGCTGCACGGATGACTGTTCTAATGGGACTTATGATTCTATAAGCGTAATAATAAACGTATTCTTTCTTCCCCGCTGTCTTTCGCGAAAATTTTGATGGAAAGAAGCAAACGCAAAAGTTTTCCCTTCTTTGTAATGATAAGTTTCCTCTGCTTTATGAATAACGACAAGGGCGGCCGAAGAAGCGCGAGATAAAACGAAGTCAAATGGGATGAGAGTAAAAAGAACGTAGAAAGACCGACTCCGCGAGAGCGCGAGAAAAGAATTAACCGAGCGGCGAAGTTAAACGGCCCTAAAATAAATAATTCAGGGCGATTTTAAGAACAGCAATGTTGCGGCAACATGTTCTCAGCACTTTTAGCAAATTTCTTCGAGGGAGCACTTTGAAACGTGAGCGAGGAGCCTAAAGAAATGATGCGAGAGATTAAAGCGGGGAAAATAGAACGACGGAAGCTAATTCAAAGATTGAAGATATAAGAATAGACGTGTTGGAAGACAAAAAAAGCAAGAATTGCACACGTAAAGTTTCGCGCAATTCAAGCGAGAATTATGGAATTAGAAGAGAGTGCGGCTTTTCCGTTAAGCGTTAAGTATTGAATGGTAAGCCTTTTGATCTACGACAAACCACGACCGTATCCCGGATGATGTCTGACTTCTAGACCGGCAATTAAGACGAAGCCCTGGCCTTAATAAGCCCGGACAGACATCGCCAGACACTTCTGAAAATACTGTGCCAGACGGTGAGCCCAGGAATGGCTTGGCGGCACGGAAGCTTCCGCAAAATCGTTTCCCCGATTTCAACCCCGAAGAGTTGAATTTTTCAACGTGTTAATTTTGCAGATGTTCTTGGAAAAATAAAAGCACAAGTCAAGCAAGTGCAACAGATCTTGATTCTTAATCATTTTTAAAAAAAAGTAAATTTTTTATGAATTTTTCACGCTAGCATCACTTTCGTTTTTAAATTTCCATCTTAAATTTCATGAAGTTGCTCAGTTAATTTTCCCCTCTAGTTTTAAAATAACTTACTTTTGCATTGTAATTAAAACGTGATAAGTTCATTGTAACAGATTCTAAATTTAAATTTCGAATTAATTCATCTGATGAGCTTTCGCCTCGCGCGATCTCCGATGTTGCTCACGAAAATCTCTCTTTATTTTAAATGTCGCTCCTGTGCAACCGGGGCGTAAAACATGATTTTGGAATCTCATAGAGTACGTATGCTAATCGTACTCGCGTTATTTTCATGCAAACGAGATATCGCCGCTAAAATACGCGCTGATGTCGGTCCTAACGAAATATACGCCACTAATACTTGTGTTCTTTTTGTATTGATTTAACCGGCAGCTTTTCATCCTGTTTCGCCAATATTTATCGGTTGATATATGTCCACACTCGCTGCCAGTCATGAACGTAAAAAAGAAAAATAAATAAATTATCGAGGAAATCGCGATCGACACTTTATAATGTCCAGCATTGTCTGCGTTATTTTCAACTGACGCTTTCTACATTCTCCGTCAAAATAAAGTTCTTCTTTGGAGAGAGCAAAAATATTTTCTGTACCGTTAAAGAGAGAAAAATCGATCTCCTCGCAAACAGAAGCTAGAATTATAATGCAAACAAGACTGCAAGCTTACTTCTACTTTATTACATCAAAATTACTATCTACTTTATTACATCAAAATTAACGTAAAGTTTAACTCCGTCACATCCAAACAATTACTTTCAACTAATGTTTATATTAAATGCCAATGCGCAATGTTTCCAGTCTTACAAGCATGCAAAGCAAGTCTCGTTATTTTCCCTCGCGAATGCTCACAGACTCTCGATTTATCGATATACGCTTGAAGAGTTCCTTGTGTAAAGGCCGTGCTTCTTCCGGTCGCCATCTCAAACAAGTCTAGCCAGCGAAATTTCGACTCATCCAAGAGGAAGACTGCCGATCGACGGAAAGAGAAATAGAGAGCAAGAGAGGGAGAAAGAGAGAGAGAGAGAGAGAGAGAGATCTTCTACATGGCAGTATACACTTCATGCTCTACATACTCCCACGAAATTGGAGATCTCTCTCTCTCTTTCTCTTTCTCTCTCTCGAAAATGCAACGGTTTACTATAACGATTTGTTCTTCCGTGCATCGCGGCCCGCTCTCGATGCGCCTTTCGACGCAATCCACCCGTTCCCAGACTCGATCGTCTCTATTTCCCTCACACTCGACTGCGTGTGTTTGCCTTGCCGATTATTAGTACGCGATGCAATCGTGTTCGCTTACTCTCGTGCTCCCATCTTAATAATGACGGAGCCGGGGGTTTAATTAGCACCGGTTAGTGAAATCTCAATATACAGCGATAAAGTCGAGCTTCAGTCTATTTCGAATATGAGAATTGAACGCATATCGCAGCGATGCTATTATAGCGCAAACGTTTTCTCGCATCTATCTCTAACGTTTAGCCTTTAAACTTTACATTCTATTGTTTGGACGTTAATGTTATGCAATATAAATGCAAAAGCACTTCGAAAGGGAATGTTTGCGCAACTTCCTATGTGAAAACCTTCCATTTTCTTCAGAAAAATAATTAAAAATTGCTATTTTATATAACAAATTCCAAATGCGCTTGAAAAATAACGGATATGTACGTCTTAAAAGATAAGAAATTCTTAATCAGTTTAACATTACGTAACGTCGTACGTTAATCGTAGGATTCCACAAAACAGCTGGCCGTTTGCGATGGCATTAATTTAAATGCAAATCTCACAATCGCACTTGATTCTCCGTGGTGTTCACGGCAGTCACGAATAAAATGTAGAATTCTTGATTTTTCAACGCAAAACTTCGTTAACTTTAGCTTTTAAGTGTGTTTCGGGACGAGAATTAATTCTTTTTTCATCGTGTGGTAGAAAATGCGAAATAAAAAACGGAAGCAGTATCAACTGCTACAATTTAATCGAACTGTTACGAATTAACACTTAATCGAAGAAAAGTATGATGCCGTTTGCGATCAATGCAAATATCTTGAATAAAGTGGCTTTTTCCCAAACTTAAACGTACGTAAATTTATAACAATATAATTTATCAATTTTCTTCTTTCTCAATTTGTTTGAATATTTATTTATTATATTTTTTAAATATTTATTTCATAAATATTCTGTAAAATGTGCAAAAAATACTCATGTGCCTGTGAATTCTAGTATACATCTTTCATTATTTTACTATAATCTACTTTGAATTTTCTTTTCTAGTCGCGTCGACGTGAAGCTTCATAATGCTGTCATGCGAAACGAATTGACATTCAAGTCTGTTATACAGGTAATATATATGATAATATATTGCACAACAAATATGATTACAAATACGATTCATAAGGATTGTTTTCCTTAGCTTGATCAAAATTTGTCCGTAAATCTCGAAATCGGCGAATCCCGGCAGACCTTTACCGTTTAAGATGAGCCTCGCTGGCCGGACAAAAGGTAGTAGCAACTAATAAAGTGTCGAGTAAATACCACCACGGACGTGATCACGGACGTTTTCCAGTTCAAATGGGTCCGGTCGATTACGGTCGGGAAAAGGTACACGAAATCTCGTTTTTCTTTTTTTTTTTTCTTCAAAGAACGCTCGAGATGAAATAGCAATTGCACAAAAGTTTCTGTTTCTTTTTCATCGAAAAGACCTCCGCATTAATTCATAAGCGTCTACCAAGTGATAAGGCATTTTGTCGGTATTTTTTTAATTTTTGAATAAAAAAAACGAACAAGACAATTGCAGCAAAATCGATAATCGCGTCTATTATATCAAACTGGAACAGTGAAAACAGGTTAATTGAAGAATTTTTTAACATAGTCAATAGATAGAATGTAATACCCTTGTCGAGCTGGCTCGCCCACCTTGCACAAATAAAAAAACCAATAGCGCAAAATTATAAGCAATTTATGAGCTTTCATATTCCGCAAATTAAAATTTTTGAGCTCGTCACGCTGAGCATGAATTTAATGTTTTTTGTGGGGAGGGCTGAGTCGATATCGACTCAGTTCCCCCACCGCTTAAAAATAAAAATATTGAATCAATCTTTGCGGTAGAATTAAGAGCTATTTATAAGCTTTTGAACTGATATAGTTTCGATTTTTAAGCTCACCCCCTTAGTCCTCAAACAACCCTTAATCGATATTGGAACTCAAGAGAGAAGTACTAGAAAAAGAAAAAATACATTATATTTCAAACGTAGTATAAAATTCCAAGAATAAACCTTTAAAATATGCGCATTTTGATTATTGAGTTGCAACCCCTTTACAAAAAAACCACCTCTCATCTTCCCAACACAAGAGAGAACTATACTTAAAATGAAAAAATTAATTATTTTCCAACTAAATATCGTTTATCCATTTATGTGCTCGCAAATTTATTAATATCATTAATT